TTGTCCGTCATCACAGGCTTCTCCCATTCAGAACAGGAACATCAGGACACACCTAACAGTAAAAAGAATAATTCGTAGGATGCACAAAAAAAACATTTCCAGGCAACACTGAATGATTGAAAACAATAAATTCTAACTACATTATATTCCTTTGCTTGAATTTAGATATAGAAATAGAAAGTACAGAATTCAGATTTTCTCACCTTGTATTTATCTGGTATCTTCCAATCACATCGCACTGGTCCAAACTTCTCTGGTTTAGACAGGAGTCATCACTACTGCATCAGTCAGCAGCCACCTAACTATAGAACATTATATGTTAGACACTTGCTTCAAATCACCAGGTCTGGTCTTGTCTTGGCGGCTTTAGACAGGAGTCAACATTATACATTTGACAAATGCTTCAAAACACACAGTAAATGATACGGAATACAGAATTCATATTTTCTCACCTTATATTTGTCTGGCCGGATCTTCAAATCACCAGGTCTGGTCTGGTCTTGGCGGCTTTAGACAGGAGTCAACATTATACATTTGACAAATGCTTCAAAACACACAGTAAATGATAGAGAATACAGAATTCATATTTTCTCACCTTATATTTGTCTGGCCGGATCTTCAAATCACGAGGTCTGGTCTGGGCCAATCTTCTCTTGTCAGGTTCTCGGGCTGAGACAGGAGTCATCACTTGACTGCATCAGTCAGCAGTCACCTAGCTATTATATATAAGAACATTATATGTTACATACTTGATACAAATAACACAAAGTAAATGGTAGCGAACATTGTATTACAGAATTCAGATTTTCTCACCATATATCCCTCTGGTGTCTTCAAATCACCAGGTCTGGTCTGGTCCAATCTTCTCTTGTCAGGTTCAGACAGGAGTCATCACTACTGCATCAGTCAGCGGTGGCCTAACTATAGAACATTGTATGTTACACACTTGTTAAAAAAAACACACACACACGTAAACGGTAGGGAAAATACAGAATTTGGATTTTCTCACCTTATATTCATCTGGGATCTTCAAATCACCAGGTCCCTCATGGTCAGGTGTACAGTTTCCCAAACGTATGGTGTACATGTAAATATAAATGAAAAATTTTGTCAGAAAAGCTACGAGCTACAGAAGTTACAAACAATATTCTCAGAACATCCATCTCAAGACAAGATACATCATACATCCTAAAATTCTGAACACTTCAAAAAGTTCTAAAATCTGCTTTGGGTTGGAAAAAGGGTACAGGCTATGCTAGTGAGGTAAACTCAGTACATGTTATTACATTCAGTCAGAAGTGAACATAGAATGTTATGAACAAAAAACAATCACATGTGAAAATACATCTCACATAAGATATCAAAACAATCATCTTTGATAAATAACACATGTTGACAAAACATCCATAGCACAAAATCTAATCTACCTATGGAAAAATCAAACCGGTACATGTAATAGCCAACAAGTTAATACAGCATCTGCAGCAAGCATGAAAAACCTCCAAACAGTTAACAACACATGAAATGCATTTCAAACAACAGTTCAACAAACTTTGAACACATGACAGACAGAACATTGTAAAGGAAGAATGCATCTAGTGTGCCCCTCACAAATAAAACATTTTGATTTAAAAAATTACTAACGACATGTCAAAAATTTTATTTGGTGTTCTAGGTAATGCAATATATAAAATCACACCACCGGTGGTACCAACAAGTGTCAATATGGCTCACCCACTTCAAATCATCAGAATATTCATTAAACATTTGAAGAAACACTTATAATAATCATAATACACATTTGTGGGAAGAAATAGAGGTGGTGAAGCATAAACAATGAACATTGATACCGGTAATAATTAAAGCCAATAATGGAACTGGTACCACAATTCTTACAGATAATTGCAAGAATTCACATCATACATATAACGTTAATGGTTAATGGATAAAAGTTAAACAGCCAAAAAGCTCAATATTACTCATTCACACTGTAAATGAGCAACAACGTTCTGATTCCTTTAATCACGAAGAGAATACATATTAATAATTTCTATCAATACTATACATATACAATCATCATTCACCTAAAAATGTAAGCACTTCTTTGCTGGGAATTTGTACTAGAAATAATCTCTCCAATGCTCCAATGAGCTCTTGTTTCATCAGACCACGCGGCAGCGCCCCATGCGGCAGATTGACTAAGTGCAGCATTAAATACGGGGGAACAGATGCTGCAAGTAATTTTCGAAATTATGTGTTCTTGTTTCATTTCGCTTCAAGGAGGTTTGTCTACATTAGTCCAGAGAGTAATAAAGACAAAATTGAGTGCAACTTACCACCAAAAAGCGGACTTGTCGCGCCTTTCTGGGCAGAATTGGACAGAGAGTTCTCTCCTTCCACTGTAATACTCGCCATCTTGGAACCGCGTGTTTCACGCACAGCTGCCGGGCCCACCTGTTCGTCTGATCAAGAGCAAAATTTGAATTTGGTAATTAAGTTAACAACAGCCAATATACAAGCGCCTCTCATGCAAGCCTGAACAACGACGATCTGATTATGATTTTTAACGTTACATCTCACAAATGTTTTGAGGTAAATTTCTTCCAAAAGAGAGACCAAATCATCCATAATTTTATATAACTCACGTGCATACTGTCATCGATAATTTTTGTAGTTTTAGAAAAACATTCCGACGATATAAACTCGAGAAGGTAACAGTTTAACGGGAGGGGTCCAAAGTCCGGCAGGGGTCCAAAGTCCGGCATAGTTTTAAAGATTATTATAATTCTGTTATGCATGGGTGAATCCACATAATAAGAACAATTAGTTATGGAGCAAGACTTTATGTAAAAAATAACAAAGTCGTTACTCAGTTACCCTGAAATTTGCACAAATATAACATCCCAGAGAATTCTCGTCGTACCGAACCACTATTTTGAAGGGACCATACCAAATGCGTTTTTACAGATGTGCAAATTACGAAGACAAATTCAATCACAAAGAAAATAAAAAGCGGTGTGACTTTATATTAAAGAAACGCGGCATGGCACACATAAAGTTAACGTTAAATGGGATCGAAAAAAGTTGGACAACGTCTGTCAGCTCATTGGGAACCTTTTCATATAATCACGGTAAACGGAGAAAATATCAAGAACGATGTTACGGTCGTATACGGTTGTGTATTTGTACCGTAGTTTCAAAGTGTAACGCCACGACCAAATTCCATTGGGTGGGTTTTGACCGTTCGCGCGAAATACAGTGCCATGCATGTTGATTTCAACAACAGCTTTTCGTCCCAGTTGCTTTGGCGAACTTCTCGCTGTTTGGATATAAACACTAGTATTCCGGGACAATCAGCACGCTTCAGAGACAAACTGCACCGGGCTTTAAAGCAAAAAAAAAAAAAGAAGAAGAAGAACAAAGAACTGAGTACGTCAAACTCAAAGGCCAAAGCAAGTGACGATACACCAAACTACGCAACCTGGTTGCCACAACCGTGCGCGTCCGCTGTAAGTTGTACAGGAATGACCACAAGATATGATATCAAAAACATCATTTGATATTCCCTCAAGTTATCCTAGCGATCTACTATATGGAAGGATTTCGAAAAAGATATAATTGCAAACCAGAGAACGTCTTGAGTATGCAAAGCATTTAGAAATAATGCATCTAAAACATGATTTTTTAATGTTCAACGCAGGATTTTCAAGTTCATTCCTCCCAGCGTTCGATCCGCCATGTTTGCTCCTGTTACCATGGGCACGGGTTCTATTTACTCCCACAGATGACACTAGCCAGCATTACAAGCAGGTTGGGTTTTTTTCTCTCTCCGTTTCTAGGCGGAACAATCAGCAAAATATTCACGAAAAACCGCAAGTCATAGTCAGATGTTACTTGTAAGGTCGCTTAACACATAGAAGGAACATTAGAGAGACAAAAAAGCGGGGTGTTTTGTTGAAAATACTCTGAAAAAAGTTTTTCATTTTGGCGCTGAATGGATAGAACAAGGTTACGGTCACCAAGGTCATTTGTACGATCTATAACAAAGATGACATATTTTACCCCTATGGAACATGGGAAATATAACCATGTAGTTCTTTCTCACAACAGTTCAAGATCTAGAAACATCATGTAGTTAATCCTGAAGGCTGTTTTACATGAGTTTTTTTAATGACATCTGTAGGCGTTCTATCATCTATGTTGAGAACTCGAGCTATGGCGACGACGAAGTCAACTACTACACAGTCTGAGGACAACGTTAGCGTTGAGAAGGAGTCGATGTTTGAGAGAGCGATCGGAAAACTGAAGAAGGGTTCTTCTGAAGACGGCTTTCAAGTTGGGGCCACGGCCATGGTAAGTTTCATGTTCGTTTTTGGGAGTTTTTCCACCGCCGGTGTACCGCTCGTGTTGTTTCATAACCTTTCATTTGTCGTCAACTTACGTTGTAGTTAGGCCACACCAATTTAATTTCTTGGTTAACAGATTTTTCTAGAAAAATAATGGACCGGGCGGGCGAAAAAAAAATAAAAATAAAAACAGGCCTAGGCATCCTATTATGGTCCAAAATGGTACCATAGGAGCCACGAAGTCAAAACACCAGGCTGGTTCAAAATTTAAACAATGAATTTTGAACTTTTAATGATATCATTGCATTGAAAGATGGAATAACTGTAATAACTGGGAAGAAATTAAAGGACTGTTTTCAATTGTTCAGGGCAAAATATGAGCATTTTGCAGTTGATTCTGAATTTTTATTTTTATTTGCAAATCGGAAAAAAATGAAGCGGGCGAATCCGTTAACCAAGAAATTAAATTGGTGTGGCCTTAGTTCATCATTTGTTATGATGCACGTTGCGTAGCTTCCGTGGATGTTTAACTAGATAGGTTGGTAACTTGCTATATCAAATTACAATGCCACAAGTTTGTTTCTTTAGGACAAAAAAGATACAAAACTTACGTTAACTTTTTATAACCTTCAATTTATTTGGATTTTTTTAATGGAAATGTGCATGTTATAATTTGTAACAATGTTGCCATTCGGCCAGTTTAATTAAAAGCAGTGTAAGTATGATTTGAATTGTTTACAAAAGGTTTACTTTCTTTTCTATGTTTTGTTTAATATGTTTGCTTATTGTAGTGCGTTCCTTTTCTTATTCAGCCAACTGACACAGGCAGCACAGAACCTGCGTTACAAGAGTAAGAACTCAGTTTTAGTCAGCTTTAGCTAGCACATGAAGTCAGAAATAGTCAGAGATTAGAAACATTACAATGTACTGAACCAAATGTATTGTTGTACATTCATGTCTACTTTACATAGTTCATATGTCCAGTACTTTTTGGGAGGGGGCAGTAAATGGATTTTTCTAGAAAAATGAACGTGAAAGAAGTCTAGATAGTGTCACTATGAACTATTTGTAATCATTGCCCTTGCAAGTACCAAAGAGATTTTGACATTTAAAAATAGTACAGTGCATTTATACCACTCACAAACTCACTCACTCACTCACTCACTCACTCATTAATGTTAATCTTTTCCTTTCACAGCCTAAAAGAGCGCACAGACGCCCTTATGGAGAACCAAAAAGGCCTCCAGAGGTAAGGAACAACTCTATAATAGAAAACATTTAGTCTGACAACTCCCACAATATTGTCAACCATTTCATTTATTATCTGTTGTTGATAGCCAATTCAAGAACCATTTAGAATCAAGAGATATTTAGGCACACAATGATGCAACATGGCTGGAAACACTGGGTGCATGTGCACCTTAGTGCACCCATGTTTGGAGCTGTGCACCCATGATCTTTTCTGTGAGGGTGCACCAGTGCACCCAAATATTTGCATAGGTTTACGTATTTAAAGATCTTTTTACATATAAAATGTATAGTATACAGCATATTATTAACATCTAGGTGTCAGGAAAATAAAGAAAAAAGTCATTCTTACCCGGCTGAGATGTTCATTGGCTAATGTTGCCTCTTTTTTCTTTCAGCCTGTTGGAAATGAAACAGCGTTGCACCTCCGAAGTGATCAGGTAATATAAGGCATATTAAGCATGTTTACACATGGTTTTCTTGAATTGAAGGCAGTTTTGGCAGCTGTGATTAAAAAGTGTCAAGAAAGCATTGGAAAGTCTCAATCTGGTGGACTCAATAAATAATAAATATATACCGGTACATAAAATACATTCTCTTCTCCATTCTGATATATTGTTGTAATAATAAAAGAGTATTGACTCATGAGGTATACCTCATCATTGTCCAGTTTCTTACATTGTGGTTGATTTCTATAGGAGACTCCAAGACCAAATTGAACACACCCACCAACAAGAGAATGCGATTCTCAGGTAAGAACAATCGTTTATCTTCGACTTCTATTGACATATGACCTGCCCTTGGTGCTGAAAAGATCTCTCCATATATAAAATGTCCATTTGTAGAGAAAATCATTTTTATGATGCAGTGAATGTGAGGTTTCATAAAATTTTACATGTAGAATAAGAAATGGATTTATAATACTATGAGGACTTCAAAGAACGTAATAAAGTTTGCCTTTTCTAAATCTCTCATGTCTAATATTTCTATCTTTGACTGAGGTGCCCAGTACAAATTATAATGATAGATATGTTTGTTGACATATCTGTAACATTTGTTATGAATTGTTTCTACTCTAGGGAATTCTCAAGATGGCTGGAGGCACACTCCACGTAAGTTTACAAATATAACGTTGAAATCTTGCAGTTAAAGTCATATTTGCTAAATTAGAAACTTGCTCCCACCATATACTGAATCCGTTCTCAGATTCGCTAAATAAGCTGTTTAAATTCAAAGATGCTTAAATCAATTCTCTAATGGTTTTTCCTCAGCATGATTGTTGAGCTCGAGGAATCTTTCCAGAACAGGTGAGTTTTTGTACACTTTCTTGATGCACAGAACAACAGTTAATTTCAGTTACAGTTAAAACACAGGTTTCACATGGAAGCAAGATTTGATCCGCTAGTCATTTTGATAAGTGCAATAGAATCTATAACGTGCTCAAGGTGTGGCTCTCTTTAAAGAGGACTCTGATCTGAGAAGACGTCTGTGAGGTGTAATGTGCCTTTCCCAAAGGTCTTAAACCTGACTAGACTACCTAGCCAATAGCTTCAGTAGATCAATCACAGACACAAGCTGAAAACAAGACTGGCAATGAAAACATACATTGCCATGGCGACTGTGGTTGCTGTTAGGGTTATTGTTTGCATGGCACTGCCATGATTTCATGATTTTGAGGAAGCCTTGGTACCTGTTAAGTCTAGACAGACACAGTGCACTCCTCCCTGAGTGTATAGTGAACAAGTCCACAGAAAGAAGGGCATCCAGGGCAGAGAGGTTTTTCCAAGGGTTTCCAGGAATGTGTGCAAACTGCACACAATACTGTACCTTCAGGCACCTCCCTAAAGACGTTGCCAAAAACACTTTTTAAACCATTTTTTAACAGTTTAATATTTCCCATGCTGTTCACCACAACAGAGTTTCCTTGAAAGACAAGGAAGTGATTGAGCTGAAGGCTCATGTGGCTGATCTACAATCAGAAAAGACACAGTGAGTAATCTTAAAATATTGACTAAAACCATCATTTTAACATATACAGTTATAACTACAAGAAAGTACCTAGTTGCAGGTGCAGAAAAGAATGAGTACTTATGCAATAGTAAATAATAAATTTGGCCTTATTCTATCCATACATCAGCTAATCATTCTAGTATTTAAAATCAGATGATTGACTTCATCTGTTCTTGCCATGTTCAAATGACAGATTCAACTGCACTTCTTTACACTGACAGGGAAAGTACTGAGGCAGCAGCTATGATCAGAGTGCTGGAGGAACGTTTGGTAGATCAGGCGGCAAACACAGAGCTCAGGTGAGATATGGTCATCCTGTCACTCTAACTCTCACTCACTCACTCACTCACTCACACTCACTCACTCACTCTCACTCACTCAGTCACTCACTCACAGTCACTCACTCACACTCAGTCACTCACTCACACACTCACACTCAGTCACTCACTCACACACTCACTCACACTCACTCACTCACTCACTCACACTCACTCACTCACTCACTCACTCACTCACACTCACTCACTCACTCACTCACTCACTCACTCACTCACTCACTCACTCACTCTATTCTCAATCACTCACTCACACACTAACTGACTCACTAACTGTACAGTTTACTTTGTCTTGTTTAGGCCTAGGAAAAAATGGTACCTGTTAAGTCTATACAGATACAGTGCACTCCTCCCTGAGTGTATAGTGAACAAGCCCACAGAAAGAAGGGCATCCGGGGCAGAGAGGTTTTTCCAAGGGTTTCCAGGAATGTGTGCAAATTGCACACAATACTGTACCTTTAGGCACCTCCCTGAGACGTCGCCAAAAACACTTTTTTAACCATTTTAACAGTTTAATGTTTCCCATGCTGTGCACCACAACAGGGTTTCCTTGAAAGACCAGGAAGTGAGTGAGCTGAAGGCTCGTGTGGCTGATCTACAATCAGAAAAGACACAGTGAGTAATCTTCAAATCTTGACTAAAACCATCATTTTAACATACATTATAACTAGTACTTTAGAATACACAATAAAGTACCTAGTTGCAGGCACAAAAAAGAATTAGTACTTATGTAAAATGCAAATACACCCTAGAAAAGTCCAAGAATGTCCCATGCTCAAAGGCTGAATGCAATCTGGCTGACAAAAGTTAGGTATAATTTATTGGAAAATGAGTTAGTAAATAACAAAATGATATGTATAATAAAAGTTCATGATTGACCACAATGATTAGCTGATGAATGGCTAGAATAACACGCCTTATTCTAGCCATTCATCAGCTAATCATTGTAGTATGTATCTGTTGTTGCCATGTTCAAATGACAGACTCAACTGCACTTCTTTACACTGACAGGGAGAAGGCTGAGGCAGCAGCTCAGATCAGAGAGCTGGAGGAACGTCTGGTAGATCAGGCGGCAAACACAGAGCTCAGGTGAGATATGGTCATCCTGTCACTCTAACTCTCACTCACTCACTCACTCACACTCACTCTCACTCACTCAGTCACTCACTCACACTCAGTCACTCACTCACACTCAGTCACTCACTCACACACTCACTCACACTCAGTCACTCACTCACACACTCACTCACACTCACTCACTCACACTCACTCACTCACTAACTCACTCACTCACTCACTCACTCACTCACTCACACTCACTCACTCACTAACTCACTCACTCACTCACTCACACTCACTCACTCACTCTATTCTCAATCACTCACTCACACACTAACTGACTCACTAACTGTACAGCTTACTTTGTCTTGTTTAGGCCTAGGAAAAAATGGTACCTGTTAAGTCTAGACAGATACAGTGCACTCCTCCCTGAGTGTATAGTGAACAAGCCCACAGAAAGAAGGGCATCCGGGGCAGAGAGGTTTTTCCAAGGGTTTCCAGGAATGTGTGCAAATTGCACACAATACTGTACCTTTAGGCACCTCCCTGAGAGGTTGCCAAAAACACTTTTTAAACCATTTTTAACAGTTTAATGTTTCCCATGCTGTGCACCACAACAGGGTTTCCTTGAAAGACCAGGAGGTGATTGAGCTGAAGGCTCGTGTGGCTGATCTACAATCAGAAAAGACACAGTAAGTAATCTTCAAATCTTGACTGAAACCATCATTTTAACATATACATTTATAACTAGTTCTTTAAAATATACAATAAAGTACCTAGTTGCAGGTGCAGAAAAGAATTAGTACTTACGTAAAATGCAAATACACCCTAGAAAAGTCCAAGAATGTCCCATGCTCAAAGGCTGAATGCAATCTGGCTGACAGAAGTTAGGTATAATTCATTGGAAAATGAGTTAGTAAATAACAAAATGATATGTATAATAAAAGTTCATGATTGACCATAAATGTATTTATACACGCCTTATTCTAGCCATTCATCAGCTAATCATTGTAGTATGTAAAATCAAAAAATTGATTTCATCTGTTCTTGCCATGTTCAAATGACAGACTCAACTGCAAGTTCTTTACACTGACAGGGAGAAGGCTGAGGCAGCAGCTAACATCAGAGATCTGAAGAAAAGTCTGGTAGATCAGGCGGCAAACACAGAGCTCCGGTGAGATATGGTCATCCTGTCACTCTAACTCTCACTCACTCACTCACACTCACTCACTCAGTCACTCACTCACACTCAGTCACTGACTCACTCACTCTATTCTCAATCACTCACTCACACACTAACTGACTCACTAACTGTACAGTTTACTTTGTCTTGTTTAGGCCTAGGAAAAAATGGTACCTGTTAAGTCTAGACAGATACAGTGCACTCCTCCCTGAGTGTATAGTGTACAAGCCCACAGAAAGAAGGGCATCCGGGGCAGAGAGGTTTTTCCAAGGGTTTCCAGGAATGTGTGCAAATTGCACACAATACTGTACCTTTAGGCACCTCCCTGAGACGTCGCCAAAAACACTTTTTAAACCATTTTTTAACACTTTAATGTTTCCCATGCTGTGCACCACAACAGGGTTTCATTGAAAGACCAGGAGGTGAGTGAGCTGAAGGCTCGTGTGGCTGATCTACAATCAGAAAAGACACAGTGAGTAATCTTCAAATCTTGACTAAAACCATCATTTTAACATACATTATAACTAGTACTTTAAAATATACAATAAAGTACCTAGTTGCAGGTGCAGAAAAGAATTTGAGTACTTACGTAAAATGCAAATACACCCTAGAAAAGTCCAAGAATGTCCCATGCTCAACCTCATCTGTATACAGTTTTTTGCTTGGTACAAATTTTTTATTATAGTGTATATGAGGGTGTGTATATATTGTTTGCCTTGCCTATTGTAACTTTTTTTTCTGTACGCAAACTCTTTCAATTCAGGGATTCTCATCCCTGCTGCAAGGTTTGCTTTTGGTGTTGAAATAAATAAAATAAATAAAAAGGCTGAATGCAATCTGGCTGACAAAAGTTGTATAATTCATTGGAAAATGAGTTAGTAAATAACAAAATGATATGTATAATAAAAGTTCATAATTGACCATAAATGTATTTATACACGCCTTATTCTAGCCATTCATCAGCTAATCATTGTAGTATGTAAAATCAAATAATTGATTTCATCTGTTCTTGTCATGTTCAAATGACAGACTCAACTGCACTTCTTTACACTGACAGGGAGAGTACTGAGGCTGCAGCTAAGATCAAAGAGCTGGAGTCACGTCTGGTAGATCAGGCGGCAAACACAGAACACAGGTGAGATATGGTCATCCTGTCACTCTAACTCTCACTCACTCACTCACTCACTCACACTCACTCACTCACTCACTCACTCACTCACTCACTCACTCACTGACTGACACTCACTCACTCACTCACTCACTCACTCACTCACTCTATTCTCACTCACTCACTCACACACTAACTGACTCACTAACTGTACAGTTTACTTTGTCTTGTTTAGGCCTAGGAAAAAATGGTACCTGTTAAGTCTAGACAGATACAGTGCACTCCTCCCTGAGTGTATAGTGAACAAGCCCACAGAAAGAGGGGCATCCGGGGCAGAGAGGTTTTTCCAAGGGTTTCCAGGAATGTGTGCAAACTGCACACAATACTGTACCTTTAGGCACCTCCCTGAGACGATGCCAAAAACCCTTTTTTTAACCATTTTGTAACAGTTTAATGTTTCCCATGCTGTGCACCACAACAGGGTTTCCTTGAAAGACCAGGAAGTGAGTGAGCTGAAGGCTCGTGTGGCTGATCTACAATCAGAAAAGACACAGTGAGTAATCTTCAAATCTTGACTTAAGCCATCAATTTAACATATACATTATAACTTGTACTTTAAAATATACAATAAAGTACCTAGTTGCAGGTGCAGAAAATAATTAGTACTTATGCAATAGTAAATAATAAATTTGGCCTCATTCTATCCATACATCAGCTAATCATTCTAGTATGTAAAATCAAATAATTGATTTCATCTGTTGTTGTCATGTTCAAATGACAGACTCAACTGCACTTCTTTACACTGACAGGGAGAAGGCTGAGGCAGCAGCTAACATCAGAGATCTGAAGAAAAGTCTGGTAGATCAGGCGGCAAACACAGAGCTCCGGTGAGATATGGTCATCCTGTCACTCTAACTCTTACTCACTCACTCACACTCACTCACTCACACTCACTCACTCACACTCAGTCACTGACTCACTCACTCTATTCTCAATAACTCACTCACACACTAACTGACTCACTAACTGTACAGTTTACTTTGTCTTGTTTAGGCCTAGGAAAAAATGGTACCTGTTAAGTCTAGACAGATATAGTGCACTCCTCCCTGAGTGTATAGTGTACAAGCCCACAGAAAGAAGGGCATCCGGGGCAGAGAGGTTTTTCCAAGGGTTTCCATGAATGTGTGCAAACTGCACACAATACTGTACCTTTAGGCACCTCCCTGAGACGTTGCAAAAAACACTTTTTTAACCATTTTTTAACAGTTTAATGTTTCCCATGCTGTGCACCACAACAGGGTTTCCTTGAAAGACCAGGAAGTTATTGAGCTGAAGGCTCGTGTGGCTGATCTACAATCAGAAAAGACACAGTGAGTAATCTTCAAATCTTGACTAAAACCATCATTATATTTCAGTCCATACTATGGTATGGATGAAATATATTGTGTTCTCTGATGTTTCTTCTTCTCCTTCTTCTCTTCCTGCCAAACAGTCAAAGGGATTCAACTCAGCCATCATTCAGCCAAATGTGCCAATACCCCCAGGCGTTTTTTTCATTTTTTTGATACATGCCTTTGAAAAAAATTTATGAAGGTTTTTTGGGGCATTTTTCGACAAAAAATGGACTTTTGGATCCTGAGCCCTGGTTTTACAACCAAATGATCTGAAATTCAGTATAAGGGTACCTTGAACATGTGTCTACAGAATAGCAGTCACATATTTGGCATACACCACTTCCAAATGACTCATTTGGGGGACTTTAATGGCTATTTTCAGCAAAAAAGGGCCAAAAGTGCTGTACCCGTTCCATGTTCTATCTAAAGAATGGCCGGTTCCATCCATGGAACATGTGTTCCATTGCGGGTTACCTGAGGTCACATTGCACCTAAGTGGTGCGTAATAACCCACACATTCAATTTTATGTGCCTAAGACCTTCAAAATGTATCAAATCTCATCATCGTTAGTTTTTGCATACCTGTAATAAGATTAGTAAAGCTTTCAAGATCCAAAGTAACGTTACTTGTTGTTGCATCTTTGTTCTCATATAGCTACTATTTGAGAACCTTTGCCAGTTTTGCACTGGGGTAAGATTGGAATAGTCCACTTTTGCGTGGGAGGGAGATGGACTGAAATATGCTGTATTTGCTCCCAAGCAAATGTCGGCCTTTCTAGTTTTAACATATACATTTATAACTAGTACTTTAAAATATACAATAAAGTACCTAGTTGCAGGTGCAGAAAAGAATTAGTACTTAGTCCCATGCTCTAAGGCTGAATGCAATCTGGCTGACAAAAGTTAGGTATAATTCATTGGAAAATGAGTTGGTAAATAACAAAATGATATGTATAATAAAAGTTCATAATTGACCATAAATGTATTTATACACGCCTTATTCTAGCTATTCATCAGCTAATCATTTGTAGTATGTAAAATCAAATAATTGATTTCATCTGTTCTTGCCATGTTCAAATGACAGACTCAACTGCACTTCTTTACACTGACAGGGAGAAGGCTGAGGCAGCAGCTAAGATCAAAGAGTTGGAGGAACGTCTGGTGGATCAGGCGGCAAACACAGAGCTCCGGTGAGATATGGTCATCCTGTCACTCTAACTCTCACTCACTCACTCACTCACTCACTCACTCACTCACTCACTCACTCTATTCTCAATCACTCACTCACTCACTAACTCAGTCACTAAATTCACAGTTACTTTGTCTTGTTTAGGCCAAGGAAAAAAATGTTGTTTCCTGTTTCAGTCCTGAAAAATTTAGGGTCAGTAGGTAGGGATTATCTTTTTTTTTTTTTTTTGTATTAGACTTTGACAATCTCTAGGGATTGAACATATACAATACAGTTTAACAAAGTAAAACTTGCATGAGGACACTTGTATTTTCAATATTAGATTATTAGATTGTACAATGCTTCATCACTAAAATGTCAGGTCATTGAGCTAGAAAAGGTAGATCAGCTTGAAAAATTTATGTCCCTTGCAGGGGCCACCCGAAAAAAATGTCTAGGGTCGGCAGGTTTTTCTAGGGTCGGTCAGGAAACAGGAAACACAACTGTTTTTTCCTAGGCCCTACTCCCTGGGAAGTTTTAGATATAAGTAGGGGTGGGTACCGGTTCAGTCGGACCGGTTTGGACCGGAACAACATTCAAGAACCGAGTCCAAAAAACCGAAACGTGAAAACCGGATGATCGGACCTGATGTTACATTTCTGTAGATTGTACACATATCTTTAGATAATCTGGCCATGACAGGTAAAAAAATAACCCTGAATCATACTAGATTCGCGTAAATCCATGTTTATGCGTTCAAAAACAAGAAAAAAATTGTTTCCCGGTATTAATCTCTTGAAACACGGCGCTGAATACATTGACGCAAAAATATTTCGTGCATCGCGCCCCTGTATGCAAATCCCACGTCACGTGTCGGCATTTCGCATCTCTGATTGGTTGTTGCGTCCGCCGCCGGCGCTGCTGGCGGTAGACTTGAGCGAGCCGACACGCTAGTAAACAACTTTTCTTTGTTCGACATAAGCGCTAAAGTGCTATTTTCCACAACCACACATCGATATTCTAGTGAAGAAATGCATAGTTTCAAGAATCTATGGGGAAAATATATGCATCTATGCGGATTTTTAGCGTTTTCGACGTTATTTTGTCGTCACTTAACCCGGAAGTGTGGACCGCGGCGTGGCTAAATTTTTAGCGTATTTTACCCTGCGTTTTACCAATCAAAACAATAAACAACTCCCGCTTAAGAGAACCCTGTAACATTTTAGATGGACCTGGACCTGATCCTCTGAACCTGATCCGGACCTGGACCTGAATTTTCCGAACCGGTACCCACCCCTAGATATAAGTAATCTTTTTTGTTGGAAAGGATAGGGAGACCTTATTATTCGTTTATACATTGTAGTACCCGGTAACTAGCAGCGTTAGGAAGAGCACACTTTTGTTATAGAAACAAATTTCATGACAAGTCCATTGTGTGCCCCACAACAGAATTTCCCAGAAAGATCGGGAAATCGAATCACTGAAGTTTATAATATCTGACCCCATGATTTTTTCATCTATTATAATGGTGGTAAACATAAACATGTGCTATCTTCATCATTTAGATTTGACGAGGCTAGACCATGCCTGCTCTCTAAAACTCTACATGCCAAAAATGTCCTGAATGACCCAAGGCCTATCCATCAGGACATACAGGAGGTATGTGACTTTTAAAAAAGGTTGATTTGGGCTTTGTAATGCAAGAATGATAAGAGCTGAGTAAGATGCATAGGAATAAGTTAAGAATTTTCTCAGCGCAATGTCTACATGTATATACAGAAATGTCTGAATCAGTTGACCAATGCTTTAATGCACATGATGTTCAAGGTTGCATGATAGTTTAATAATACCCAGAGGATAATCAAAAGTTATCTATCTCTTTATTCAATAGATCAAAAAAAAGTAATGATGAGAGAATGGCTCATCAGCAGGAAATGGTCAGAAAGTTGCGGAAGCAGGACATGGATCATAAAACTAATTTTTGTTTTCTTCTTACGATGCTTCTTTAGGGAGAAGTGATTCAAGAAACCTGTGGCTCTGAACAGATTACGTTCAACGGAGTTCCACTGGCTATCTGCGATGTATTTGCCATACTAGCCAGTGGAGCTCCACTGCCAGATGCCGAACAGCACGACAAGGCAGACCAGAAGGCGTCTGAAGTGCCCCAGATTCTACTGAACGGGTGCCACTGCTAGATGCTGACGAGCAGGAGGAGGCAGTCCAGAAGGCGCCTGAAGTGCCCCAGATTCTGATAAACGGGGTGCCACTGCTAGATGCTGACGAGCAGGAGGAGGCAGTCCAGAAGGCGCCTGAAGTGCCCCAGATTCTGATAAACGGGGTGCCACTGCTAGATGCTGACGAGCAGGAGGAGGCAGTCCAGAAGGCGCCTGAAGTGCCCCAGATTCTGATAAACGGGGTGCCACTGCTAGATGCTGACGAGCAGGAGGAGGCAGGCCAGAAGGCGGCTGAAGTTCCCCAGATTCTACTGAACGGCGTGCCACTGCTAGATGCTGAACAGCAGGATAAGGTGGAGAAGAAGGCAGCTAGTATGCCACAACAGTTTCTTAGTGGATCCTCCCTGCCAAATGATGGAAACAGAGAAAGGCTAGATATCCCACACTGCATTCCGGAGTCTCCTACAAATGAAAGCGAAAAGGAAGAAGAAACATTCCGAAAGGGACTTGCCAGTCAACAGAATACTAGCCTGTCTGCAGGTGATGCAAGCATAGAAACAACCGTAAATACTGCACAACAGCCGCTACGCATCCCAGAGTTCTTCGTTGTGCAAAAAAGTCTTGTGGCCCACCGACTTCCTCCGAACTGCACTATGGACCCAGTGCCGCTCCAGGTCCACTTTGTACCCAATGATGGTTGTGCTTCAGGAGAAATTTATTACGACCATGACTCTTCGGCTGATGCCTTTGAAGCGGCTATGGATGCCATGGACTCTGGACTAGGGGATTCCCACTGTGCGAGTCCATACCCTGCCCGCAAGTCAGAGTCCTCCCCGGCACAGGCCTGTTCAACACACGTTCTTGATGACAGCTGGCTAAAGCCTTTTGACCCGAGGCAGAGGGATTCCATTATGTCCAGGTCATCATTGAAGGATCTGCCAACTAAGTCTGAAGTCGGTAGCGGGGTCATGAAGCCACAGAGTCCTGGAGCACTATCCTCCTGGTGGAAACCAGAGAAGCCTTCCACGTACCAAGAGTTTGGACAGCCGAGTATGAGCCTCCTGGACTTTACAGCAGCTGATGAACCTCGTGGACTGGAAGTCCTGATTGAGAGGAAAGCCTCAAAACAGTCCTGGACTTCACCAGTAAGAGGAAATGAGCCCAGAGGACTGGAAAGTGTGCTGGAGAATTCAAAAGATTCCCAGGCCGTACAGCAGAAAGCATGGCAGAGATGTCAGCTCACCAACACGCTTGACCTGTCGTCAACAAATGACATGGCCGCTGTGTCGGGCAAAAAGATAAGCCACTCCACCATGAGCATGCAGGTCAACACGTCTCCTGCAAATGAGGGAGAGGACACTGCCCGAGATGAACCTGTTACGTTGGAGCCTTGTTTCCTGTTGGCACTGCTAACCCACAGGATTAAGAGAGGCTACAGACTCTTCACTGTGCTACACTGATAAAGCTTAAGCTACATCAGCAGCATGTGGATTTATCATGTGGATTTATCTTTAATAGTGTGGAATACTTTGTTCTATACCACGCAAGTCATATGTTGGTATAAAGTGCAGATGAACATCAATGTGACATCACAAAAAATGTCATCTGAATGTATACATTACAGTGCCACTTATCTCTACATACCAGAAATGTTTCTACCAAACATTTGAATGAGACAAGTATTTTATAATATTGTATGTCACAAGCGTGCATGTAAATGCAGATTTTTAAACAGAGATTTTATTTTGTGATGCAAAACTGCCCTATATAGGGCAGAAGTGACTGTGTTTTTATAAATTCATGTATATACAATATACATGTCTTCTAATTTAGCCAAAAGTCTGTGTTGTATTTCTTGTTTGGTGATTCGAATGATATAGTGCAAAGTTGGGTACGCATAAACATTATTCGTGGAGACAGCTTTGGTTTAGCCATCAGTTTTTTTTAATTTTGCGTGAGAAGCTATAGTGTGTTTGTGTGTAGGCAATACCAATCACCAATGTTCAACAGGGCAGGTGTGTTATGTGTGGATGGTGTTCAGCACTAAGGACAGGTATGTTTGTGTGTGGATGGTGTTCAGCACTAAGGACAGGTGTATTAATGTGTGGATTGTATTCAGCACCAAGGACAGGTATGTTTGTGTGTGGATGGTTTTCAGCACTAAGGACAGGTGTGTTGTGTGTGGGTGGTTTTCAGCACTAAGGACAGGTGTGTTGTGTGTGGGTGGTTTTCAGCAGTAAGGACAGTAATATCTGTTTGTACGAGGCTAAAGGAGGATGTTTAACACCTAGGACATGTGGGATTGACCGACAATGTGTGATGTGTTAGGATCACAATTATTGTTATATGAGAATCATGTGTTAGAATATGAGTTATATGTACTTGTACTTGAAATAATCTCTCCAATGAGCTGTTTCATCAGACCACGCGGCAGCGCCCCCATGCGGGAGATTGACTAAGTGCAGTATTTTTAAAAATACGGGAGGAGCGGTTGCAGCAAGTAATTTTCGAAATTCTGTGTTCTTGTTTCATTTCACTTCAAGAAGGTTTGTCTACATTAGTCCAGAGAGTAATTAAGACAAAGTTAAGTGCAACTTACCACCAAAGAGCGGACTTGTCGCGTCTTTCTGGGCAGAGTTGGACAGAGTTCTCTCCTTCCATTCACATGCACTCGCCATCTTAGAACCGCGTTCATCATGAGCAAAATTTGAATTTGGTAATTAAGTTAACAACAGCCAATAGCAAAGCGTCACTCATTCGAGCCTGACAACCCTGCGACGATCTCATCTCATTGATGTTTTGAGGTCAGTTTGTTTATACATAAGTTCATTCCAAAGTGAGACCAAATCATCCATATATAACTATAAGTCACATACTGTCATCGATAATTTTTTTACATGTACTTATAATTGTGGGATAGATTAGCCTTGTAGTATTGTTTAACTGCCGTACATTGTAGCATGTACGATCGGTGAGCAATAAAGTTCGTTCATTCATTCATTCAAATATTGGTATACTTTTTCTTTGCATAAAATGGAAGCTAATAATAAACTGTGATAAATGTAACGTTATATCTATATTGGTACCAGGGCATCATGTGTATATGCTAAATCCAGACGAGTCCAGGCCCCGCTCCAAAGTACACAATGACGAAACCTACGGGTAATCAAATCACGTGTTTTCACGCGAGACTGACTTGAACAGTTGGACCTCCGACGTGTGTTGACAAGCAATATAACTCACAGTGTTGGCGCCTACAGATAGCAACTTGTGACGTCGTAGCAAATAGTCATGTTCAGAAGAACCGTTCTAATATCTTTTCGCTTCGCGGAAAGACGTTACCGCAGCTCCGCCGTGGCTCCCTCGGCCAGGGACGCGTATGTCGCCGAGGAAGTTCAGAAGTTCTGCACGGAGACCCCGGTCGAACGGGCGACAACTCCCCCTTCAAGTTGGTAGGTAGTAAACGTCAGCGATGGGCAAATAGAGAAAAATAATTACTTGTCACAGCTTACACAGTGCAGCTTTAGTGTGTTGACTGCTAGAATATGCTTGGTTAATCCTGTCAATTCCATGATGGTCAAGTTTTGATTGAAAACAGTAACTATTTTTTTAGCACCTTGCATTATAGGTGTTCAGTATCTACTAAAAATCAAAACCACGTACAACTGAACACATTGACTGACTTTAAAACAATTGTCATTTGTTAATAGGTTGTATCGGTGTGTTATATGCACTGGAGCTGAATCTCTGCTTATGCTATCACATTGTCATTGATGTGAAGTATGCTATTCTATGAGTTTACTGGACTGTATGAAGGTTTGTTTTGCGTTCAAATTTTCTACTCGTTTTAATACCCCACTTTGGCCATTAGTTACTTTGATTCTTAAAAATGCAAACAGCTTCTTAATGCATGGTTTGACAGTGCGAATTGATGTAAAAAGAACAAAGACATTGAAAAGAAGAAAAAAACATCCAGCCCCTGACCCGCGACGTTGCCCCCATAAAACACACTTAGCTGTCACTAGGCCTCGCCTCCGGGTCAACATTTACAAAGAGTCAAACAGAGTTCAGCGGGTTCAGGCCCGAACAGCCCCTAACTCCAGACACATCATCGTTGTGATCTGCAGTTCACTTTATCGCGCCCAGTTACCGATTGACGTTCAGCAACAAACAATGACACCAATGTATATACGTAGTATGGCCGACAGCGGTAAACAACTATATGCTGGAGGTTAATGATTAAAATGAAGCCAAAGGGAAGAACTTTATTTTGCGCACCTGTACATGCTAAATCCAGACGGTACTCAGGCTACAGGCCTGAGTACCATCCTACTTATATGCCGGGGCTCCCACACTCGCTTCCCTAACAAGAAATTGTTGTACTCGAGGTAAATTTGTGGCTGTACTTGTCATACATATGCAGCAACTTTTTTGCCCTTACCAAAACAGCACATGGTCACGTGGACTTTGTACTGATGGGTCATCTACTAGTGGAAGAGGCTCCGCCCAAACTACTTGTTAGGGAAGCGAGTGTGGGAGCCCCGGCATATAAGTAGGATGGTACCCAGGCTACCTGTTCTGCGCTTAGGGCCGACTGAAAACTGCGTACGCACGCGAGAGTACGAAAACTTCCTGCGGTGATTTTTTCCAGTGACGTCGGCCTATTTTGACGTACGTCAAGAACGTAGGTTCATCATCATGATCGTACTTTTACCTATACAATCTGAACCTGCATTCTTGACGTACGTCAAAACAGTTTTCGGTACAGTCAATTTTTTGCCAGCGTTATAAGTCTTTGAATATCATTTTTCGGCTCAGTGCGTGTTGCAACGTCCTTTCCAACGTTGTTGTGAAAAACAGATGTAGATGCAGTGACAATGTTGAGGACCCTTGGCCCATTGACAACGGAAAGGACGAACGAGGCGATGTAAACAGTAATAGATCCAAGATAATCCGCAATGCAGCCAAGCACAGCGCCATCGGTTTGGAACAGTGCCTAACGCCCCGTGGCCAGGAAATGGCCATTTGTTTGAATAGAATCTGATCATTATAAAAAAAAAAAACAAGTTATAAACTGTTATTTCCAACACAAGAAATTGGACTTACTCAAATTTTCGACCGCACAACTCCAGTCTTGAAATGAGCAATCCACCGTCTCTGTGGCGACACGTGACTCGGTGAGCAGTGGGGTAATGTTGCAGGAAAGTCTGTGGCGCCCCCCGTCTTTCTTGAGGGATGGTTGTAATGCCCCGATGTAGACGGCCTCTTTGATACCTCTTTAATAGAATCTGACAATGTCCCTGTCCTGACTACAGGTTCACAGACCCTGCGATTTATGGGCTTGAGAAACGGACCGTCTTCAAGTGGAACTGGGTGGCTGTGGGACGGACAGACCAGGTAGCCTCACCGGGACAATATTTTACAGGTAATTACTGGCTTCTATCTATTACAGTTTTAACTCACTCGCAGAAGGAAACATTCTGTTTTTGTTCTGTTTCTTCTTAACAAACAAACAAACAAACAAACAAACAAACAAACAAAACAAGCAAACAGACAAACAAACAAGGTCAATGACCTGGACCAGGCAGCTGTCAACATTGCACTAGTAACTGGTGCTGTAGCATCCTGTGGTGATGGGTCTCATTATGTAGCAAGTTGGAGGGCTGGTCACCATATATGTGAATATAGAACATAACAGTAGTTTGTTGGGCTGTGAAGGCAAATATTTTCAGTATTCTTTGTAAACGTTATCTATATCTAGTATCCTATTTTGTACTAGCTGTGTGACTTTGCAACCTTTCAGGTGTTGTCGGGGACGAACCTTTCCTCGTAGTCCGAGACAAGTCCAACACCCTCCGCGGCTTCTTTAACGTGTGCCGGCATCACGCTGCCATCCTGGCGGGGGAGGACGAGGGCACGGCCGACGCCTTCACCTGCTGCTACCACGGCTGGACCTACGGGCTGGACGGCAGGCTCACCAAGGCCATGCGGCTTCGCGGGATCCAGAACTTCTCCGCCAGGAACTTCGGGCTGAAGCCGATGGCGGTGAAGGCGTGGGGCCCGCTCGTCCTTGTGCGTCCAGACGGACAGGAAGACGGTAAAACGTTCTAACGGCTTATTCATCAACATTGGGACTAGTTCCCATAGTACCACGGCTGTGCCTTAAGCCCCTGCCACACAAAACCAAATACTGCCGAACTCCCCCCGATTATAGTTAGGAGTACGAGTAGCTCGTGATATATATATATGAGCAAGTTCGGCTGTGGTTGCCTGGTGTTCGGCGAGGTTGGCTACTGTTCGGCTGCGTCAGCTCAATGTTTGAAACATTCGTGTGTGGACTGGAGGTTGGGCCATGGTTGGGGAGTGTTTGGGAGTAGGTTGGCAGTGGTCGGGAGTCAATTTGACTCAAATTTGATTCGATTCATTTAGAAAGGTAGGCGTGCCCTAAATCTGATCAGACAGTTCAGACTGCTCACGAACTTCAGCCAACCTTGGTTGACTGGTGTTCGGAGGAAGGTTCTGAATGTGTGACAAGGACATCTACCTTAGTGTCTATCCATTTACAAATATCCTCACCTGTAATTTTCGCAGGAACTGACTTCGAGACCCAGGTGACTTCCCTGAAGGACCAGCTGGACGACCTCGGGTTCACCTCGGGTCTGCGGTTCGTGGAGCGCCGCCGGTACCGCGTCAACTGTAACTGGAAGGTGGTGCTGGACAACTACCTGGACGGCGGGTACCACGTGGAGTACCTGCACAGGAACCTGGCGTCCAACCTCAGCATCGACACGTACCGCACAGACGTACAGGAGCTGTACTCTGTCCAGACGTGCTCGGGAAGCGCGGAGGACGACCAGTCCATGACGAGACAGCGCATCGGGAAGACGTCGATCTACGGCTGTGTTTATCCCAACCTGATGATCAACAGGTACGGGCCTTGGCTGGACACCAACATCGCCTTGCCGCTCACTCACGACACCACAGAAGTCATCTACGACTACTGGCTCGCCGAGGAGTTCGCCCAGACCTTGCGGGGAGAGGCGGAACTGCAGGAGTTCGTCCAGACGAGCTTGACAGAGAGCGACAAGGTCCAGCAGGAGGACACCTTCATCTGCGAGCGCGTTCAGAAGGGCCTCAGGTCGTCTGCTTATGACGTGGGCAGGTACGCGCCACGCGTGGAGATGGCAGACCACGCCTTCCACCTGAAACTGGCATCGGATTTGAAACAGGGGATTCGCACTGACAAACTGACGAATGGAATTACTGTGCCGTGCATGTTTTAAATATATTCCCTAGGACGCAAATGAAATGACGTTCAGCCCAATACATTGTATTAATAATGCACATGTATGCGACTAATTATGTTGTACATTTCTATACAACCGATATGGGATGATGTACATGACAAAACCCATTGACAGGGATTAAGCCACAATGCCTTGATTATATATTACTAGTACTAGTATACGATACCTGAGCGGAGCGGGAGCTCTCTACGGCGCGCCCGGCCTAAGGAGTGGTCAGCTTCAGGGTTACCTTGTAGGAGTTTTGCGTGGTGGGTCCAATGACTCCAGTGTCCAGTCGCACAAAACTCCAAACGACTGCATGCCCGGTGACTAGTCGAAAGCCCCGAAGAAAGCCCACATAATCCACGATAGGACTGGATAACGGGCCGAAAATGTAACTGTTACAAGTTTTGGCTCACAAGGTGAAGTGCATTGATAAAAAGCGGCCTCTAGCAGTTCAACAAAGGACTGCACCATAATGTGAGCTAAGCGGCGTCTACTACTGCAGTGATTTTTTGGTCGCTAAGGGGCGCTTTTGAGCCATGGCACTTTCCAACCAAAGTGCCTCTAAGACCCTGTTCATACCAGACTTATATTTAGCGGTTTCAACCGGTTTTTCAAAAACCGGTTTTTATTTAACCTGGTGTGAACGCAAATTAACCGGTTTTTTAGGGGTTTAAATCCGATTTTGAAAAACCACCTCGGGAGGTGGTTTTTGAGGGGTTTTTCCACCGAAAAACCTGGTCTGAACGCTAAGGGTTTATTGAACCGGTTTTTGCGTCGTAATTCCGGGGTCACGGGGTCAGCATCCTGACCGTGTGCGACCTGCAAGCTTTTTTAATCGCGTTGTTTTGACCAATTTGAGTTCGTTTCCACTGTTTTTCCATGGTTTCTCTTCATTCTGCGATGGAATCAGCATATGCAACCTGGTCGGCGGACGAGACGCTCCTTATACTTAGGTTTGGAGAGCAGGAGTCGCCGAATTCGAAAAAGCTGGGGGGGGGGGGGGCGGCGAGGGCTCTACCGAAACAAAAATGTTGGAGGAGGCTGATTTCTTGAAGATAAAGGATCAGTGCCGCAGTAAGGTAAAAAAAACAACAACTGAAGACGGCATACAAGTAAGAAGACCAAGGACAACAATCGGAACAGCGGGAGGAACGGTTATTCAAACTGCAGTCATGGCCGATTGGATATTCACCGGACAGGATTTTTTCAAAACCGGTTATCAAAAGTCTGGTATGAACGCTAAGGGTTTTAGCCGGGTTTTTGAAAAACCGGTTGAAACCGCTAAATATAAGTCTAGTATGAACAGGGTCTAACTTGTCAGATTTGCTATGTTTACCTAAACTGACAATTAATACAATAAAAATGGACGGGTCTGAGGGAAATGATTTGACGGAGGAAAGAAAGAAGCAAAAGGAGAGTTGCTTTCTGTCTGTAAGACTAAAATGATATGTATTTGGATATCCTTTCTTCCTTCTAGAGTTGTGTGTCTACATGTACCTTATTATCAGTGAACTATTCATGTCAATACAAAATCTTATGCACTGTCTCTAGTTCACACTATAAAAGTGCTAGATATATACTTTCTGAAGACTGAAATTTGGGATTGCCCAAAAATGATGTTTTACCCAAGACTTACAATGTACCCCTAGAGTCTAAAAGGGGCATTATGTAACATTGTGGCACCAAATATTTGATTGAAATAAAAATCTTCATGTGATTATAATTTACTTCGGAATCCGCCTTTCAACATATTCGGGCAATAATATATTTGGCAATAAAACAGCCCAGATCTTCTGACAAGGCCTACTCTTTTTGTGAATTCCTTCATGTTTCGGACTACACTGCATACTTTTTGTGCTGTGGATATGACATTTAACGAAACATGCAGCTAGTCTCCAACAGACTGAGTACTTGTAAATAGTAGATATTGGCCTAAAAAGGAATGTAACTGGCCAGGGGAGTTAGCTGGCCATAGAGAGTCCAATTCCGTGCATGTAAATTGGACTCCGACACTCTATGGCCAGCTAACTCCCCTGGCCAGTTACATTCCTTTTTTAGGCTGATTTTTACTATTTATTCAATCTGGTGGAGACTAGCATTCAGCACAAATAACAGCAACACACCACACCACTTTACATGTTGTACAAATGGTTTATTGGAACAGGTTGGACCTACAGACGTTATAATATGGCTGATCAGGTGCTGACGGGGGAGTTACAGTGTCTCTCTACCTACTGGACCCAAGTAGTCTCAAATCAACACTACAGTGGGACAAAAAAACATCCCAGCTACATCACAGTCTCCATTGTATTAGAATACAGTATAAACAGCTCCCCCTATCAGATTTAACGTGCTACTACATCACTTCATACAGATTTGATGTTCTAGGAGTAAATCTTCCATCTTACAAGTGTATCTGTACGTGCACAAATGTTAACCAGAATAAATTGCAGAAAAAGTACATACAGCGTGTGCTTCCCTCACTGACTTAGCAAGAGGCTTACAAGTTACAACTTCTTGTAAGTCAGTGAGGGAACCACAGCATATTCTTGTACGAAAATATCAAGTAAAATCTATAATACTCAAAATTTATCTTCACTTATCTAACACGGGAGGTCTCTTACCCCACAGTGCTGGATTAATTGAAAAGTTTATCATATAAGAGGTTAAAAATAATAAACAAGAACTGATTAACTAAACAATACAATATAGATTTTAGAATATAATACAATATCAAAAAATCTAAAAGGTAGTGAGAAGTAACAAGAGGCAACATGCTCGTTAAAATATACTGTACCCTTCTTTGGTCAAAACAAAAGGCGCTAAAGATGTGTTCAGTATTTTCAAAAACTTTGACTGACACAAGCCTCTAGGTTTAGATACAAGTTTCACTTTCTCAATAAACTCCCAGCTCCGAATCAAAGTGGTTTCTGGACTGGTTGTTTTGTCACTTTTTGTCCTCCTTTGATATGGACAAACATCTTTTGAAACATTTGGCAGATTGGAGCATCACACTCCTCACAAGATCCTGGGTGTGAATTTCGGTAACCAAACTTACAAGTGGTCACGACATCACTAACAGTGGGATGTTCAGTTTTCTGACAGGTTTTCACAAAGAAAAAAGAAATCAGCACCAATACGAAATCAAGTCAGAAGAACTACATACATAATCTACATACATACTGGACGTTACGCCCTGCTGAAAGGGGCTTTGTTCAGTACAGAGGAGATGTAGATAATCATGCTAGGCTGTCAGGACCAGAAATATCTATGCAACTCACACTCAGTCATCTCTAGGACCTGCTCTTACGATGACGTTGCACATATTGTGGACGTAGCCTGGCTGTAAACCCTACTACACGAGTTACTTGGTTAGTAAAGTATTAAGACTAGGCCTGGCGGTATAATAATGTTTGTACAATAAATAAATATATGGCACCTGCTGCGGATTGGAATTGATTAGTACTTTATAGGAATCAAGAGCAAATACTAAGAATTTTTTTTACATTGGTTGGCTACATGATGAACTACTGTTGGCACTTGTACTACCATCAAACTTGACAAAATACTGACTTAAACTTGTCCGTTGTGTGATGGCAAAAGAAAAGGTAGTTAGTTCACACACGTGTTGGACACAAGTGAGGATTTGGCTGTACAGACCCCTGGTTTTACGGGGGGACGTAGGGAGGGGGTGAGCGGTAAGGGGGTGCGATGACGGGTCTGGTTCCCCTGCTGCCCTGGGGGGTGCTGAAGGGGGGTGGTGGTTGGTAGGGAGGGGTGGAGAACTCGTCGTCGGGGGTGTGGGGAGGGTCGACACCGGGAGGCATGTCGGGGAGGGGCACCTTGGGGTACTCCGGTGGCGGCAGTGGAGGTTTCTCGTCCTTCATGATGACCGGCGTGGAGGAGGTGGTGGGTTTGGTATCCTCCAGCTCGTCGGCGAAGATGATGGGGATGCCCTTGTTGACGAAGGTGTGCTTGTCCTCCTTGGACAGCTTGCCCTTCCTGCGGCGCCGGTACAGCAGGAAGATGATGAGGCCCAGCAGCAGCAGGATGGCGGCACAGATCACCGCCGGCAGCACGATGTGCAGCCACTTGTCGTCCTCGCTCGTCTTGCGATCGCTAGCCGTGTCAATAATCGGACCTGAAACATAACAAGAAATGCTTTTAAAAAGCTGTCTGGGAGCCGAGTTGGCCAGTGTCGGTCATGGGACTAGGTAGGTAGGGAGTGTGATGATGATGTGTGACTCAAATAATTGGTTACTCAATGACGAAATGGACTAATGCTAACAAGACTGGACTTATCCACACAATTTTAATGTATCGTGAGACTCTTTCTTCTAACGGAGGGAGGGGGCAAGCTAAAAATTCCCAACTACCAAGACTCTCTGTATTCAGTTTTTATAATAAACTCAGTGTGACCAATTTGTTTTCACACATTTGTGTATAGAAAGGGTTTCCTACCTCCAGGACTGTCTGTTCCGCGGCCCGTATCACAGGGCCCAGCTGGAGCCACCGAGACCCTCGTCACGATAAACTCCGGCTTCAGGGCCTCCACCAGCTCTGGGTTGATCTCTCCATCCTTCATCAACTTAGCCCTGAGCCGTGTGATCTCCTCTGAGGGACAGGGGTAGTACGGGAGGGTGTTGTTGCTCCACGAGTAGATAACAGACCCGGCTTTGAATTCCTGAACAGTAATGGAGCTGGTGTCGCTCTCTCCGTACAGTTTGGCCAGCTTCTCCATCAGGAGCAGCTGCTTGTTGACGTCGTACTTGAACTTGTCAAAGTCGTAGTCGATCCTGACACTGAACTTGTGGTTGAACTGTTTGGTGCGAGGAAGCACCTGGATCTCGAAGGCGTCTCTGGCTACTGCACCTGCGCTGTCTAAAGCGGCCATGAGGTACTCCCCAGTGCCCACGTGCTCTCCCATCGGCAGGCCGTACAGCTCCTGGCTGGTGTCGTTGAAGCGGATCCACGAGTTCTTGGGCATGATGAGTCCGTCGATGTTCATGAACACCAGCTTGAGCTTCCTGGTGTTGCCATCCTCCACATCGTAGAAGGTATCCCGGGGAATCTTGAAGCGCAGCACCTCTCCCTGGTACACCGTAACACGGTCGATGTGGTTGATGAGTTCTGGTGGAGTGTTGGGCTCTGTTGGAACTTGTGGAGTCTTGGGGAAGGTGGCCGGTTCTTGAGTAGTTGCCTGTGGAGTGGTTTCTTTCTTGGGTGTTGTATCGTCGGGTCGTGTTGTTTTGGGAGTGGTTGTCTTCTCAGGTGTCCTGCCAGGTGTCCTGTCGGGTGTTGTGACAGGTGGTGTGACCTGTGTGGGTGTGACAGGGACGGTGAAGACTGGCGTTGGGGTGATGAGCTCGGACCTGCTGGGCACCACTGTGCTGGTGACGACGTCGATCCTGGTGGGTCTCGGTGGCAGCATGGTGGGAGTCTGCATCATGCTGGCAGACATGGTAGGCTTGGTCCTGGTGGCTCGTGGAGAAGCAGTGAGAGACACTCTGGTGTCGGTTGGCACGACTTTAGACGGCGCAGGTGTGGGTTCCAGGGTGGCCGTCCTCCCCATGTCGGTGAAGATGGGAGAGGCTTGGGTAGGGATGACCCGCGTTGGCGGGATGGCGCTACTCTCTGGCACTTCTTCTGGGGGTAGTGGGCGGCCTGGCACAGGCGTGGGAGTGGGGCGCAGCTGCAGCTGGCGCTTCATACGCTTGCTCACGTGCGGTTTGGGGCTGGTAACGTGCCATCCAATCACGTCGTAGCCGAGGTCGCGAGCCATTTCCCCGTTCTTGGCCGTTTTCTCCACACGGTTCACGCCCCTCAGGTTGCTGGTGTCGCTGCCACACCCCACGGTCCAGGACAGCAGCATTCCTTCTGTCTTGGACTGCTTGACGTTTCCAGGCCCTGCCATGAAGGCGGAGGCGTCCAGGATACGTTTGTTTCCCATTGGCAGCAGCTTGAGGAAGTCCAGCGGTACCTTCATGTGGGCCTTCATGCCAGACAGCAGCTTCAGCTTGTCCTTGGGGTACAGCTTGTTGGGGTCGGCATCCACAATCACGGTAACCATGGTGAAGGGCTCACCGGGCAGACACACCACGCTGTTCTCCACGTTACCGAGGTAGGACGCCAACGCGGGAGCGGCGGTGGACTCGGGCGCCGTCTCCGGAACCACATTGATGGAGAAGACGTCGCTGGCCTGGGACGGCAGTTCAGAGGTGGAGTTGGGCTTGCCGATGGCGGTGACGGTGATGTAGTGAAGTCCGACGTCGCTCTCGGTTGGTATGCAGATGAGGGAGCGGTCGCTTGCGACCCACTGGACCCAGGAGTCGAGCACGCCACCGCCTGCTGCAGACACCTGTAGGGCAGGGAGAGAGGGAGGACCAGTCAGCATGGCACCACAAAACTGTAAGGCATATTCCACAGACCGATCTTAAATGTCCATTACAATTAGTGTTCAACCAATGAGAGAATGGCAGTTAGTGGTTCAACTAATGAGAGAGGGCCAATGTATGTCGAAAATTTAGGATCTGTCTATTGTTAAACACAGGGTCCATCTCAAAGATAATAACTTTTTCCTCAAGGATTCATATAAACCCCTTTTCCATTTCATTCTTTTTACAAAATCAGTGAACAAGTTTCCTACCCATCAACTTGGTCTGAAAACAAAAGCTTCCCTTAAAAGGCAATTATCATTTATATTCTCTGTCATTACCCTTTCTCTATGGCCATTATAAGAGCTTAATCGCAACTTGAAGATATGAAGCAAGAAATCTGAACAGTTACTAGTACCCAGGAGGATGGAATGATATCGTATCTCATTCTTTTAAGGGATCAACAGAAAATTGTGCCTCTGGAGTAAAGAGGCTGGTAATCTGAAATGTGTGCCCTGGCAAGCAACATGGGGGTTTAGGGAATCCTAACCCTCTCCCAGACTGCACTGGGGGATCAACAGGCCATGTTTCTTATTTCATAACACTGAATCCCTCAGGCTGTCATAATGTGAAGAAATGTGACCCGAATTCTAATGATCAGAACACAACCTTTTGGATATATATAATATAGTCGTGATTGGTGGAGTTGCACTGAAATTTACAATCGATTTTTATGGGTAAAATCAATGCAATAAGCTATTATCATAGTATGTACAAATGACATTCAATAGTGTCGGCATGGTTAACAGTTATATCGTGATGGTTCAGATCAACACAATTAAAAGCCAGCTTTAAGGCAAAGTTACTGTCCAGCACGAATAACAGTTACGCTTCATAGTCCTACCAGGAATTTGAACAACGTAAAACAGTGTAGGTTTTTGCAATCGTGGCGTAGCATTTTTAGTACCCTGGCTTGAGAGTGCCGAACTGATACGGTGAACTGTGCACTTTACCAATGCAAGACATGTCTTGGAAATGTTATTGGGAACGATGGTGGCATTAAGTGTTGTCAGAAGACTGTGCAGGTATGACAGGGGTACTGTAAGGTTAGGTTTGACTTGGCAAGAGTGTCAGCCAGGGAAGGTCTAAGGTCAGGACAGGTCGGCAAGCAGCTGACACCGCCCAAGGCTGAGCTGTCACGAGAGGCTCTTATGGGGGATATCAAACTACCACGGGTCACTGTGGATGCAACCCTTCAAGGTCACCGGTATAACAGAATATTGCAAGTACCCCATGCTTTACCATGCAGCCTGAAGACGAAAGGAGGCTTGCAAAACCAAATGCCTAGAAATGTTAAGATTCATTCAGTAACTTAGTGTTTCTACAATATCAGTCACTGCGAGATGGTCAGCATATTTCAGGGAAGGGCTGACCCTATATGGCCGATGTGCCGCCCTTCAGGATTACGCTGTGTTCATGACGGAAGAGTTTGGTTCTCTTCATGATGGATCGGGTTTATTACAGATGCCAAGGTCACACTGCTTTTCAAGGTGACCTCTATCTACATCAAATACTTGAACATTCCCTGCTTGACTCTTGTATTAATTGTCTCTTCTGACATTTCAAAGTAATCAATATTCTGTGTACACGCACTGATTAATAGGCATTTAAAATACAGGTCTGATACACACTTCGTTTAAGTACCAGAAGTTTCAGAGAACATGAAATAACTTATATTGCTGGCAAGACATGTATTTAAGGCTGGCAAGACATGTATTTGAGTAAATATTCTTAGTTGTATTAGCCCAATTCCTGTAATAAAAAAGACTTTTGATTAAAAACTACTACCTAAAGAAGAACGTTTCGTTAATGAGGAAAACAATAACAAAGCAATTAAGCACAGCCCAGTTATCTGCTTCGTTAACTTCTGACACACTTTTCCATTACACTCCTGACTTCACATCTAGCATTTAACGCTTTTAGGCTTTCTCCTTTAAATCAGTGAATCCACAGCAAAGTCCATACTAGGTGATAATGCCTGGATTCCTGGATGATAATCCAACAAAAGCAATTCTGGCAAATTGATTATAGGATACCTATACAAATGTAGGTTAATTGTCGTATATTTCATCCCCCTCGCCATAACTACCCAGTAGATAGGGCATCGGGTTTCGGAGGTGGGTAGTGATTTTGGGAGACTCGGAATCAATACTGCTTCGGGTTTCCTGGTTGGATGGGTCCAACTGGGACGGGATCCGATGAAGGTTGGACGTTGTAAAAGCGGAGGTCGTCGGGGTCACGCGTTAACAATCACGCCTGCCTAGCAGCAATGCTTGTTGCCTTGGGGTCAGAATCAGCTGTCTGCTAGATCAATCAATGTCAACCTTCCAAGGACCAGTGTCCCTAGTGAAGATGAGAGGCTTTCTTTCTCATGGTTGATGCTTTGTTCCACCACTTTTGGACAAGGGTACATCAATTACCTTCAGCAACGCATTTCATCGCTGCAAAGAGATACATTACCTGTCTTAGAATCATCTCTTCTTAGGATCAACCTTAAAACATTAAGAACCTAGATTACCAGTTCTGACTGACTGATGCTTTTTCATTTTTCCTAATTCTACCTTTGAAATGTTAGAATTTTTTCTTGTTCAGCCCTAAGTCTGCCCCACCTCCAGTATGATTACAAACTGTTATCCTCCAAAACAGCTGGACACAAGCCCCTGACCTGTAATTTGCTGGGATGGAGCCGTCCAATTATATACCTGGGCTAATTTCCTGCAAGACTGGCGAACCTTCTACTTCCCCCTTTCAAGTCCCGATTCGGTATTCCAGAGATGGTGCCGCAGAATCTCCGACATCTCTGAGGGAATGGACTGTTCTGGGGCCAGAAGAGGAGTCTGGGTAATTTTCAGGGGTGGGTGGGCGGCTTGGGGCAGAGTAAGGGTATGTGTGAGTGCTGACTGTGACTGTGCCTTCTTCTGTGAACATCTCACATGTGTCTAAAACTAAAGCCTGTAATACCAGCTATGTTCTATGTCTGCATGGTATACTAACCTGAAACCAACTTTTATCAGCAGGAAAATACTGGAATTCTCCTTCTGTCAAGTTTCATCACTTTTTTGGGGGTGCAACATTTAGAGCAGACCAAGTTTCTGGGGTTTTATCAGTAACAAATGTAGAACTAACTACAAGTTCCTATAATGACTATTCATTATTTTGCCAGATGGTAGCAAGCCTGCAGTTTTCAATCCACTGAAAGGGGGCGCCACCAGCCTTGCTACAAATTTATAACTGTACAGCAGGTTTGTTATCTGGTGTCTGTTGTCTGTCCTCCAGTGAATCCTGCTGGGTACATGGAACCCTTCACATGGACACCTTACTGATACCCTGTGATGCAGTGCAGGTGTCTCATTGGGTCTCCCACATGATAGAACACATAGCTATGCTCTGACACAGACAACTGCCAGGGATATTTAAAGGGTGGGCGCAAAGATCTGACAACTCCCCGACATGTTCCACTTCCTGGCCTCTTCTGAATCACTTATAACCTGATGGAGTAATGTTAGAACACATCAGAAACCAAAATGACATGACTCAAATATCCCCCTAGCTTCAGGCCTCCCATGGTGATATGATAAAACATGATAATCATGTTTGATAAGTCCATACTTGTTTGCTGAGTTCTAGCTTTTATCCCCCACATTTTTGCCAGATGTCTGTTTGCTATCTAATCAGGTCAGAAACCATCCCCAGCTGAGGCCTGTGTGCCATGTTTGTCCACATTCTCTATGATAAATGGGGTTTTATTGTTACATCTGCACCAATTTTAGATGGCGGTTGGCTATCTTTTCCTGTTCTGGCACTGCCAGTGTTCTGTACTGTCTCCACGAAACAAAGACCTTGTCATCAAAATGCAAGGACATCAAAACAGAACAACTTCCTGCCTCTTTCCCTTCTGGCTTGGCTACTCTCGGCTCTCTATTAAACGTACCGGTACGTTTATTTTTTTTCGCCTCAAAATCCACCCGGTACATTCTTATTTTAGACGGTACGTTTATTTCTTTTTTCAAAATCGGAAAAGTTCCGGGAAAATTCATTCCATTGTCGGCACAAATTCCTGTGAATTGTCGATGAATTGTCGATCTCGCCATGACGCCACAAAGAAAACGTTGTCGTTAGTAGAAAATCTGACACCCCGCTGGCGTTTCACAACAAAATTTTCAGATAAACAACTCCGACTATCTTTCATTCTTTGTTTACATCGTGAAAGCTCCGATACAAAAACTCCCGCCGGCCGCCGCGAAGAAACCGCATGGTTGCGGTTTGACGCTAGTTTTCGGCAGCTCGGCGGAAAAATAAACCATCCCCAGAAGAAATATTACGCATGAAAATGACAGCTACAAATTGTTTTCCTCGTTGTATGAGTTTTTGAGGCCGTAAAATGTTTAAAATGGTTGAAATTTGCTCGAAAAAACGGCTCGAAAAGCCAACGGCGAGAAAGACAAAATGGCCGACCTGCTTTTTACAATAACAGTGGTCAAAGGTCAAGATAGCATCCAAATGTATAAGACATGTACTAAGTACATATTACAGTGCTAAAACGATACTTTAAACGCATGAAAATATTTTTTCGGCTACAACTG